AGCAAGATGGAGTCATGCTCTGAGTCTGCCTCCGATTTGTTCACCCCTTCTCGTACCAGTTTGTCTAAGCCATCCAGTGCATTGTCCCCACTTCCACCGGGCTCTCAAAATATTTTGCCATATATAGAATCTTTCTTTGTGGTTTGTGAGAAGCTTCATCCTGCTCAGCCAGGTGTTAGTCATGATTTGGGTATTCCTGTTGTGTCTGACGTTGAAGATGCCATCACATCTGCTACCCAACAGAAAACTTCTGCATTTTCTGTGAAAGTGGATGAGAAAAATGCTGTTTTTATCAGGTTCTCGGAGAAGCATAGGAAACTACTAAATGCTTTTATCAGGCAAAATCCTGGTTTGCTTGAGAAATCTTTCTCCCTCATGCTGAAGGTACCAAAATTTATTGATTTTGATAACAAGCGTGCCCACTTTCGGTCAAAGATAAAGCATCAGCATGACCATCATCACAGCCCATTAAGAATATCGGTTAGAAGGGCATATGTTTTAGAAGATTCTTATAATCAGCTTCGCCTAAGATCTACTCAAGATTTGAAGGGAAGGTTGACTGTTCACTTCCAAGGGGAGGAAGGTATTGATGCAGGTGGTCTTACAAGGGAATGGTATCAGTTATTGTCAAGAGTTATTTTTGACAAAGGAGCCCTTCTTTTTACAACAGTGGGTAATGAATCAACATTTCAGCCAAACCCTAACTCTGTTTACCAAACAGAACATCTTTCTTATTTCAAATTTGTTGGAAGAGTTGTAAGTTCCATTTGCAAATGCAACTGCTCATCATTTGCTTGCTGTTTGTCATATATGTTTCTTTCTTACTCTTCCTGCATTGTTCAGGTTGGGAAAGCATTGTTTGATGGGCAGCTCTTGGATGTCCATTTTACTCGCTCATTCTACAAGCATATTCTAGGGGTCAAAGTTACATATCATGATATTGAAGCGATTGATCCTGACTACTACAAAAATTTGAAATGGATGCTTGAGGCATGTGCATTTTTGTATCTTTTTTCTTTCTTTCAACACAATCCCCATTGCCATCTTCTTGTTGACTGTGGCAGTATTCTTATGTGTTTCTGGTTTGTTTGCAGAATGATATTAGTGATGTTCTGGATCTTACCTTTAGCATTGATGCAGATGAAGAAAAACTGATCTTATATGAGCGGACAGAAGTAATGCCTACTCTGATACTTCTTGAGATAATACACATTCTTTTGCTTAATGTTTTAATTGTCTAATTTTGACGACAATGCTTAGGTAACCGATCATGAGTTGATTCTTGGTGGACGGAATATCAAAGTTACTGAGGAGAATAAGCATCAATATGTTGATTTGGTTGTTGAGCACCGGTTGACCACTGCTATTCGACCTCAAATAAATGCCTTCTTGGAAGGATTCAATGAATTGATTCCCAGGGAGTTGATATCCATATTCCATGACAAAGAATTGGAATTATTGATCAGTGGACTTCCCGATATCGATTGTGAGTTATTGCATTGTAAAACATATGCTTTTTTGATGTCTTAATTGCCCTCCAGCCCTTCCATCTTTTTTAAGTCTTCAAAATGCGTGGAATGGTAATTTTAACGGACAGTTTTGAATCATTTCAGTGGATGATTTGAGAGCAAATACTGAATATTCTGGATACAGTGGTGCGTCACCAGTTATCCAATGGTTTTGGGAAGTTGTATATGGTTTCAGCAAAGAAGATAAGGCCCGACTATTGCAGTTTGTGACAGGCACATCCAAGGTGAGTCGCTTTTGTGCTGTGGGGATTAGGGCTATTATAAATATTTTGAAATTTGCACATGTAGATTTTTGAACGTTTCTAATCTTTTAAGTAGTTTTAAATTAAATTTCTCAAAGTTTCCTGTGTCATGTCTTTCGAGTAAGCATATTACTGTGCTGCTTTTGCGTTTGTATTTGAAGTTCTTTTCTTTTTCTTATTTTACTTTCTAATTGTAGGCCAATAGCAATGTGTTTGAGTTGTAAAAAATCATGCCCACTAGAGTATGAGACTGGCTCAACTATGGATGATCTGAGGCGCAACTGTAATTTATAGAGATAGGCTTAGAATGGCACTGATGAGTTTCTTCTTTGTTGTTTCTGCTGTAATCTCATCTTTACCTGTCTCCGTCTGCGGGAGATGATACTTTTTTATTGTTCTTAGGATCTGATTTTTTAGACCTGGAAACTTTGCTCATCTATTCTAGTCTTACTAGAACAGTAAGTCGTGCGCTCAGAGGAAAAAAAAAATGAAGTTTATGGAGAATCTGATTTTTGCCGCCAAATTTCAGGTGCCCCTGGAAGGTTTCAGTGCTCTTCAAGGAATCTCAGGTTCTCAGAAGTTTCAGATACACAAAGCGTACGGGAGCCCTGATCATTTGCCTTCTGCTCATACTTGGTAACTTCCTGCTTCCTGCCCACTTCATTTATCTTTTGTCGTGTTTGGCTTTTGACATCTTCAGAGTTCTGGTTATTGTTTCATTATTTGACGGATATCGAATATCGCAACTAGAAAGACTTGACCTACATTCTTTATTGCAGCTTCAACCAGCTAGATCTACCTGAATATCCAACCAGACAACAGTTGGAAGAGAGGTTGCTGCTTGCAATTCATGAAGCAAATGAGGGGTTTGGATTTGGTTGATAATCTTTATTTTATTTTATTTTTTTTGGGGTAGGGGGGATATACTCTCGTGTTACATACTAGGTCAGAAGCTATCCTGAAATAGAATGATGTGTGCAGGGGTTTGGCCATCTTTTCAGTTCATATCAAATTGTCAATATGTTGTACAGTCGTTTATTGCAATGGGAAAAAATGCCTTTGCAGTTTTTCAATCAGCCTCTTTGCACCTGTTAATACGTTTGCAACTGTGATTTTGTTCCCTACATGAGCTAGCGGCTTCCTTCAAATATTGCTTTGTTGTTAATAATGACATTAAATTATGCGCTTCCTTGATTGGCACTTATAAGTCAATAGTTTGTTCTAATGTCGTGAAATACATGTGAAACCAATTGGAGTTAGGCTACTGATAATCTGGAAAGATGAGAAGAAATTTATGCTAAAAAATGCAAAAAATAAAAAATAAAAAATCAAGACGGTATGCAAACGTGGATGGCTTGACCCAAAAAAAGGGGGGGGGTGGGGAGACAATGCGAATGGCATCACAAGAGACATGGTTGAAGGAGCAAGGCCATTATTCAGACTAAATGTCTCTTAATTCTGGAAATGATGTTTTTTATAAGGATGAAGTTGAATATCCTCTCATGATAATCAGGTTATTGGCTTCCGTGCAATCACTGAACAGATGGATTGACAGCATCAAAGTGGTGAAGTTTGCACCATCCAAGACATTCAAGAGTAGAGGTGATAACTTAGGGTTAACAAAAAATGCAATTACCGTCTTGCATGATTTGAACCCATAGTGAGCTAATTGATAGGTTGATGAGTTGACCTCCTTATTTTTTTTTATAAAAAAGATAAAAATTGTATGATTGTTCTTTCAATTCTCAAAGCCTCATCATTATTTAAATTATTAAAATAATTTAAATTATGTGCTTATTATTTATTACCGTTATTATCTATCATATTTAATTAGTTAAGATGGTTATAAATTTATAGCCAGTCAAATGCATTAATGCAACATACATCCAATCAAAAACTTTTTCATAATTTAATTTGAGAAATATTTTAAGTAGGCACAAAAAATACAATCATTTATTTTTTAAAAAAGGTTACGTGGGGTTCAAACTCTATTATTGTGTTGTCATTTGAAATAGTGCCATCTCAAGTGACACATGAATTATTTTTAGAGTCATTTGAATGATTTATATATCAACCTTTAAATCCTCTTTAACAGTTTTTGAATTATAAGTTATTAGATTGTTAAGTTGTGAATACATTCTAGCTTTATTTTTTCTTATATTATTTTTGTTATTACATTTTACTTTAATGAACTCAAAATTTTTCAGCTAAGAAAAAAAACAGTTAACCCCCTAATCTTTGCTCAAATCAATATCAAATTTAATTTAATTTTCTATATTTTTATATGTTAATTATATTTTTATATTTAATTGTGTAATATTAATAATTAATAATAGATAAAACTTTTAAGATGAATTTATAATTTTTAAAATAAAAATGTATATAAAAAATAATTTTTTATCAATAGGCACCAACCTGCCATGAGTTGGTGGGTTGATAAAAATATAACCTGAATAAAATATGAGTTATATCAACCTATCCTGTTAAATTTACAATTTACTGTAGGCCAACCCATGAGTCATGGGTTGGATTCATATTACCAGCTCGAGGGAAGCCCCTGATCCATTTGCCAACGTGTGATATCCTGCACAAGCAGCTTGGACCATCATGAAAAGCAGCGCCATCAATGCCCAGTCTTGATTGATTGATCTCTGGGGGTCTGGTGGGCACTGTTGACACACAGCAGAGATGATCTCCCTTGACCATTCACATTCACTGCCATAAAACTCGTAGTTTTATGTTTTATCAAGGCATCTAAAAGTGGTATTGAAAAAGAAGAGAGAATTTTCCGCCAATAACTTTAATTGAAAATTCTCAAATTTACACGTAAAAATAGAAAAAAAATTAGTTAATGCCAACAAATTAATTCTATTTATTAAATAATGATAATCATTGCCGTCTTTTCAACATTGGTACAGAAAATGTTGCTCATTTATTTATGATGTGGGCCACGTCATTTTATTATTTGTTTTGAGAGCATTTCAGGAAAAAATCATTTATTACTTATAAATAATTGCACATCCCTTGTATAAATAAAGGAGACACTGCAACCTTTAACATTTTCTCTTGTAGTTAGGAATGGAGGCAGTGACACTACGCTTTGAATTACTCTATTCAAAACTTAGCCTCTTTTTTCACCATTGACCAGATTTCTGACCCAGCAATAGAAAATTCTCAATTCATTTGTCTTTTTGGTACAAACAAAATAAATTTTTTTGGCCAAAAACAATATTACTACAGCCGACGCTTGAAAGGTTAATATCTCCAAATTAGATATACCATATAAGATATAGGGCATGAATTCATATGATATGAATGAGAATGCAAATACAGCCCATTGCCTTCAATTACAAAATACAAATAAGACCTAAGTTGGCTTTGCTATTGGAAAAGGCTGAGTGTTGCTTATAAACTAAGAGCAGTCGTACTGCTCATCTCCAAATGGCAGATAAACACAAGCATTCCTTTACAGCTATGAAACTTGTTAACTCTCCCACCAACCTCTTCCAGGTAGCGTTGATACAAATCACCATCTAGGATATTTCTTTCCTTTGGCATCATTTTCGATAATAATGCAAAGGCTATCTGGAAAATCTTCTGGCCACAGAACCACGTCATCTCCATGGAGAACCATCTTTGCAAGATGATCTGCCGCTCTATTTGTTTCACGCCATGTGTGAGAGACCTGATACTTGTCAAACATACTCAGAAGTTTCCATATGCATCTCAAACATCTGCCAGCTTTAACACCTGAAGGTTGCTCTTTATTGATGGTTTTCACAACACTCAGTGAATCAGATTCCACCCATATTATTTTAATCCCCTGGCCCCAAGCAAGAACAAGACCTCTCCATATAGCCCACAACTCAACAAGGAAAATATCTCCTTGTGGCACTTTAGAGACAAAAGCGCATAATGGTTCGCCCTTGTAATCACGTAGCAGTCCGCCAAAACTAGCATTTTCTTTATGTATAGAACCATCAGTATTCAATTTTATCCATCCAAACTCTGGCTTTATCCACCCACACCACCTAATGGTTCTGGAGACTGGACTCAGAAAATTTGCAATTTGGTTAAGGTTCTTTAGTAGGACCATTCCTTTGGTTCTCTTGTGAGAAGCCATGGACGGTAACATGTATGTGCTCGCGGTTACACATAACTCTAAGCTCAAACTATTTTCCTTAGCTTTGTGTTTCTTTCCCTGAAGATGTGCCACCAGGTAATTTTCACTGGAAGTACTGATCTGACACAAAGCACAGCTCCATTCTTTCTGGGCTTTTTTCTTGCAAGTTGATCTATTGTAATTTCTTTCTGTTGAGTCACAATCAAGATCACAACTCCCCTGATGCAGAGAATTATTAAGCAGCCAGTTTCATTAGTACACACTATGATAGGGATTCAATAAATGTTTTATCAAAAGAAAATTTTACTAGGAATTGGTAGTTGTTGCGAACAACAGCCTCCTCATGAGCAGTGGTCACCTTCTCAATGTTACACTTAACATATATGCAATATAATTGCAAACGGTTGCTCATCATTTATTGCACCAAATAATTTAAATTAGCAACATTTTGCATGTCACAATGCATATTCGGACTTGGAGACATTTTAAGAAATCAATATTTTAAAATCCTCAATCAAGTTTCCAAATGTTTCTATGAATGGGCTGTCAGTAACTTGACGTGCTTCAAAAAAAGAACAAATACCCAGATTAACATACCTGATTTATTACAGATATCTTCTCTTGCATTTGACTTTTAATAATTTGGCTGCTAGAAACATCAACAGTTTTGCTGTGCTTATCCAATTTGAAGCTTTTGCTCCTTTGACTGAAGATATTCCACGACCTCTTCCATATGTTGTCACCACAGTATTGCTTACGGAAATACTTATAAAGATATGTAGCACCCCTAAAATAAGGGAATACCAGCAAGATTGTTGCCATCCCTTTCATGTGAGGCCACCACGGGAGCCTGTAACAACAAACAGATTCAAGATGAGGTGAAACTGATAGCAGAGAACATGATATTCAAACACAAGAAAAGAGTTAAATTGAAGCAAAGCCGCAGAACATGATATATCAGTGTTAGTGATCAGACAGTGTGAAACTCCTTCGTCCCTTCTGAGCCAATACCATTCTGATTTATTTGTAACTTCATATTATTCTAGCTCATATTGATTCTCAAGTCTCGTAATTTACTTCTCCATATAATCTTTGAGTTTTATTATAGTTGAACAAGGAATTTGAATGAAACATGGCAGACAGTGATAACGAAACAAAACAACCCAACTTGTATGTCATCCTCAGCAAGGAAATGTCAGTAACATTTCAAAAGAACTTCCACTAAATGGGAATTAATAGCACCGTTTGATGGCAATAGTCCAAAAATAATTGCAATAATAAGATTTAGTTAAGCTGGGCCGCCCAAAACATGCCTAATAAGGTGGACATGAGATGTAGAAAGTGTTAGAAATCCCGCATTATCAGAGTGGCATCGCATCAGTGACCATAAAAACGGTCACAAACATAACACGCGCACATATATAAAGCAACCAAGATGGTGATTACATATGCAATTTTTCATTGTTTGGTTTACCATCAAAATGATCACAGCGCTATTAACAGTTTGATATCAATCCGATATGACCCACCATACCGCGCCAAAGTTAAAGAAGGGGGGGACTTCTTCTAAATGCATGAACTAATCCATGAATTACCAGTCAAGCAGCCCTGCAAGTTCCTTTTCCATGATCTTAAATAAAGAAAATATAACCCAAAAGGTAAGGCACCGACGATTGCTGGGGTGGGAACCACTCTCCATGGCCCGAATAGACACAAACCTATAGCAAACACACAACATTTGGAGATCAAATCGTCAATTCTCTGGCATTTTGAAAAAGGAATACTAAAAAAAAAAAAAAACTGAAGAAATAAAAGTACCCAGAAGGGATCTGGCAACTTACAGGGAACAAAGCAAACTCATTGGCGGCCTGCATGTCAGGAAAATAAAATAAAATAAAAATAAAAATGGGATATACAAGCAAATGTCAACAGCTAAATAGTATTTTGCAAAAAGAAGCAGACCGTCGGGATCATAATGCACTATATGGCAAAATTTCCAAATGACTGGAAGGCTCGTAAAGGAAGAGAAATTTCGCTTTACCAGCCAAGCAAGCCGAATGATTTTGTCAACAAGACCGTCAGAATAGCTTCGCGATCCATTCTTCAATCCTTTCCTTCTCCTTCCGTCCAAAGAAAGACCAGTTATATGAAGATACTCGCATCAGGCAGCAAGAAATAGAGAGACAGAAGACCAGGAGTCAACATACACGGTACGCATACTACACATCGTTTCCGAAATAACCCGGCACTGTTACAGAATAATTAATTTATAATTTACAGAAAAATTTAGTCATTTCATCCTTACAATTCAGTGTTTACTCTAACTTGTTATAATTTAATTTTTATAATTTTAATTTAATTATAAATTAATTTTTAAATTTTATCTCCGGCAATTTAATCCCTATAATTTTAATAATTTAAATATTAATTTATATATTTTTAAAAATAAAATTATAAAAATTAAAAATATTTTCATCTTTTTATATTTATATTCTCTATAAAAATTAAAAATATTTAGTAATTTAAGAATTATTCATAAACTTTAACATAATTTTAACATTTATGATTTTATTTTTTAAAATATATAAACTAATATTTTAAATAATTAAAAATATAAAGACTAAGTTATAAGAGTTAAAATTTAAAAATTAAGTTACAATTGAATTAAAATTTTAAGAGTTTAATTATAATTGAGTTAAAATTAAAAAACTAAATGATTAGTTTTTTCTAAGTTATATTAATAATAATATAAACACACTATAATATATAATATAGTATAATATGATTAGAGCTATCAATTAGGGCTGAGTTTGTCGGATTGACCCTTTTAAGTTCAAAAATAACTAGGACCGAATCTCTATTTTGAAAAAGAAAATGATAATTTGGGCTTAAAAGGGCCGACCCTTTTAAGCCTTTTATTTTTTAAAAAATTATAATATAAAAAATAAAATATTAAATATATAACAAAAAGAAATGAATATATTATACTCATTCATCCATCCTTTATTTATTTATTAAGATTTAGCTAATAATGTTAGTCAAGTCTTATTGGTATTAATTTTAACGTTGTTATCTGATATTAGACCTGAATGTTTAAGTTTTTTTATTTACTGTGGTGTAAATTTATTTAAATTTATTTTCTTAAACTTAACTTTATATACTTTTTTTGGATTATAAATATATTTTTTAAAATTTTAAATTAAAAAAGGTAAAAAGAAAGGGCCGAGACCCTGAGGGCTAAGACTGAATCTTGTAAAAAAAAAACCCTAAAACATGATCGGACTTATTAGGATTAACTCATTTAGGCCCTGAGTTGGCCTTGATTGATTGCTCTAGATGTGATGAGTGCAAACCATTTACATTTGTAATTTATATTTATAATAACCATTCTAAATAGTTAAAAATTAATTAATTTTTAACTTATAATCTTTTTTATGCTTCTATTAAGCCTCCTTGACTCCTTCTTTCAAGATTCTGATCGTTATCAATATTGCACTAATGTTAAATATTAAATTAATAAGCATAGCCAAAAAATTGAGTTTTGATGATCGAGCTGTGAATTAATGCTGCATTTTATTTTTCTGTGGGCTATCTAGATTAATCCAAATTAATGTTATTCTCAGTTTTAAACTTGATATCTATTTAAAATTAATTAGGTAGATTATATTTTTTAAATTGATAAAATTGACATGATAGTATTCACAAATTTAATAAATAATGTGATTTTTTTAATTAAAAAGCGTTAATGTAAAATCACTTTCTTTGTTTTTTTATTAAAAAAAAATGTAAACGTTAAATTGCTTTCATTCATAATATGACCATAGAACAAAAAGATAGTAGGGTAGATGCCAATGGGAGTTGATTTGAGTGGCAAGTAACTCAATTTTTCTTAAGTAAAGTCTTGAATTCAAGCCTTGCGTATGTAGAAGATTCCCACTAAGAAACTCACCTGCCAAAGCCAGGTGCGCGATACAGGTCGGATTTGGATGCAATCGGACCAAAGCTCTAATGAACCGGGTGGGTAACAAAAAAGAAAGAGGAAAATCATTGATTGATTATTTATTTTAAAAAGGAAAAATTATAACACAAGACTGGGAGAAAATAATATTTATTAAAAAGGATCTTAACAATAAATATTATTCAGAAGAACCTAATATCAAAATATGAAATTTAAAATATTATATTGTTCCTAATCATATGTTTTACATTTTCTTATAATTACATCTCACACGTTGTATTTTATAACACTAACAAAAATACATTATTTGCGAGAACATGATTTTTTATATAATAAGGACATAAAAAAATAAACCAAAACAAAACTAAATTAATATCTCAGAACCTGTAACAAGTTAATAATATCATATCTCTTAAAAATTCATTAGTTCAGAAATCGAAAAAATTAAATGATTTTTTAGAAATAAATATTTTTTAAATTAAACTTAATTTAATTTTTAAAAATATTTTTTAATTATATTGTTTAAATTAAGTTTAATACCATTTTTTGTTTTTGTGTACGAAGTAAAAAAACTGCACAACCTCATTTAAAAAAGAATAATTATGTGTATATACAAAAAATACTTTTATAACCTCGCAGTATTTCATGTTAACTACTTAACTGTAGAATCAGAAATAAGGGCCGTGCCTGAAAGCTTTGTTTAAATAAGGGTTCGGACTTTAAAAATAAATTTTTTTAAAGTAATCGGGCTTGAGAGCTTTACCCTGATAAGCCCTATAAAATAAAGCTCGGGCCCGGACTGCCCTTCAAGCCCTATTATATTATTTTTATTATTTTTTTAGCAAAACACATGTTTAAAATTAATGACCTACTCACCTGATCCTACATATATTATATTATTATTAATTTTAATTTATTCTAAAATTAATTTAATATAATTTAATAAATATCAATATATAGAATAAAATTTATGATTTTTTTTATTTTTCTATAATTATTATGTTTGTATATTTATTAAAAAAACTATTTTTTAAATGAAGATTTAAATTTTATTACTAGACTTCTAATGTATGTTATTAATTTCTAAAAAATTATGATGATTTTAATTTTTTTAATTTTAAAATATTTTAATTTATTTACAATGTTTAATTTTATTTTAATTTTTTTTATTTTTTAAAAAAGGGCTTACGGACCTGGCCCTGAGCCCTGAGTATAAGGGTCGAGTTTAAAAAATGGGAGTCAAAATAAAAAATCGGGCTTTAGGCTTAGGCCCTAAAGGGCCGAGCCCATAAGGGCCGGATCCACCCGTATTCCCAACTCTACTTAACTGTAAGGTTGTCAAATTTTATACTGAAATTATAATAATCAATTATACATATCTTAATCTTTCATCTTAATTTTAATTTTTATAATTTTTTATAATAAATTTTAATTTAATAGTATTCGATTCTATCTAATCGATCTTAGTGAGACAAAAGCTTGTTGTTGTTGTATAATAAATTTTAATTTAATAGTATTAGATCCCGTTTCCTAATTTCCCCGATAAGAAGTTCATCAACGCTCGCCCCTGGGCTGTGCTGCTGTGGTGTTCCTGCGCGCGCGCGCCTCTGATCCTAGTTTCCCGCCTTTCACTAGTCACCGACTTACTGTCAGTATAGCTGCTCCTCTCTCCATGTCCCTTGAGTTTTGATGACTGAGCACCCCGCGGGACGGGTCCAAGTGTAAGACAACCAAAGTTTCCGACCATGACGCCCTTGAAGACCAAGTCTGATCCTCTCTACGCCATTATTATTTCCAAAAATAGCCGGGGACTTAATTTTAGGATTTGTATTGTTTCCCCACTATTGTCTGCGTTGCATTCCGCCATGAGGTTATGCGAGACAAGCCTGTTGATATTTCATATGTTGGAATTTCGAGAACAAAATTGATACCATCCCCTTGTCGGAGAGAAATTACTGTTCTCGTTCAAAATGGCATCGTCTTTTTTGGTTTGGTTATGCCTACTTCTTATTATCATCTGGATCTTCTACACGTAAGTCCCCGATGCCTCCCTCCAAATTCGTTTTTTTTTTTTGGGGTTTTCATGCGAACAGATTTAATTTCAAAGTCTCGTAGTATATCTAGGTTTGGTAGGCTGGTACTGATTAATTGAAAACATTGTTTGCTCGGGGAAAATGTTACTCTTTCGAATTTTAGTATTTTACTCTGGGAGTGGGAGCAGCTGAGTAATTTAATTAATGATAGGAAAGGGACAACCAATTAGGTTTATTATATAATTAAACATTTAGTCATGGAGAGAGACACGGCGGGAAGTGTGTGTGCGTTTCTTTTCACGTTTCAACTTTTAAGTTCATTTCACCAGGTGCTGCTGATCGAATGAATTTGTTGAAACGTTTGAGAAAGGATCCTTTTGTTTTACCGTCTCACTTACTTGTACATTTTCTCCTGCTCGCTGTGTATGTTGCCTATCGAAATGGTTGGTTATTTTTTGTAGTTGTACTAATACTTCTACTACTACTACTATGCTTAGTTTCTTTTGTCCTAAAAGGGGACTGCTTATTTGCGGGTCAAATTTTTGAAAACTGTAAAGGATTCTAGTATTTCTAAGTTTCAGACAAAGAAGTTATTGAGACTATTACTTTATTAGCAATGCCTGATATTTTTTTTTTTAAAAGGGAAAAATGTTTAAGGTCCTCTGATTGGCACTGCAGTATGATAAACGATTTAGCATTTAATATTTAACTAGATTTTACTCCAATGTGAGCCCAAGTCATTATAATTTTATAATAATTATTTATCAAATGAGTTTTTTTTTTTTTTTAATGTAGCAACATTAGAAAGATTAATAGTAGTCAAAGATCATGTATGTATTAATAGTACTATGACATGATGCAAGAACTATAGAAGTTGAGTCAATATTGAGGACGATAATTGTTCATTCACACTATCAAAATTATAATGTATCGAATTAGATGGTATTGGATGTAATAGAATTATAATAGATCGAATTTTAAATAAAATTAATTATCAAATAAGTTTAAATTTAGTAATATTGGAAATATCAATGCCGTCAAATATAATGTGAGTATTAATAGTAATATGATATGATGCAAGACCCATAGAAGTTGTGTCAATATTGAGGAGAATAATTACTCATTCATAGTATCAAATTTATAATATATTGAATTATAATATATTGAAATTAATTAAGAGCATTTGGTTTAACAAAAAATAGTAAGTAATATATTTGTTC